TGTGGAAGGAAGCCGGAGAACCCGGAGAGAACCCACGCTGCACGGGGAGAACATGCAAACTCCACACAGAAAGATCTAGGTGTCCTCACAGGAATGTGAACCGGGGACCTTCTTGCTGCGAGGCGACGGTGCTAGCCACTGAGCCACCTTGCAGCCCGATGCATTAGGTTGATTTCACTATCAATGTGTGATGTTTTACACAAAGAGCTTCATATTCAAAATCAAGAGTTTCAAAATTGACTAACATTTGAGATATATTTATAGCTGTACAATACCAAACAAGCCTAAAATGAAGTATATACAACATATAAACATCCATCAATCCATTCATTACCTATACATCACTTAATCCTCATGAGGGTCGCGGGGGGCCTGGAGCCTATCCCAGCTGACTACAGGTGAAGGCAGGGGACACCCTGGACAAGTCACCAGTCTATCGCAGGGCTTCACAGAGAGACAAACAACCAAGCACACTCACATTCACACTTATGGACAGTTTAGAATCACCAATTAACCTCAACATGTTTTTGGATTGTGGGAAGAAGCCGGAGAACCCAGACAGAACCCACGCTGCATGGGGAGAACATGCAAACTCCACGCAGAAAGATCCCAGGTGTCTTAACTGGGACACAAACTGGTTATCTTCTTCTGGCTGCAAGGTGAAGGTGCTGATCACCGAGTCAGGTTCCTTTCATGCTGTCAAAACAGCTCTAATTGATTGGTGCATGGCCATGGGATTTCTTTGGGTGTTCTGTGGTGTTTGGCAGCAGGACATTAGCAGTGGGCCCTTTGGTATCTGTGTGTTGCGGGGTTGGTCCTCCTTGAAATAGGATTGTGCCAGCGCATCCTGCAAATGCTCAATTGGATTGGATGTGGGGGAATTTGGAGACTGGATCAATGCTTTGACTCTTTGTCATGCTCATCGAGCTGTGCCTTTTTGCAGCATGGCGGGGCACATTTACATGCCAGGGTGGAAATGGGGTGCGTGTAGGTATGTTCAGATGAACGGTATGTATAAAAATAACACAATGATGACTAAAGATTTCCCAGCAAACCATTTCATCGTAATGAGATTATCACTGGACTTGTGTCAGTGGTTTTTCGTAGGAAGTGTTTCTTATGTAATGTAGAGATGTGACAGAAACAATCTGCTGCTAAATCGATCATGTTTACAGGCCACCCAACATTCACATTACTGAAACAGCTGCCTTGTTAGATTGTGTTGGTGATATGGAAAGACACTGAAGTTTCATATTTCACCTCTAACTCTCAGTTTTTTATTACTTGTTCGGGTGTTTCCCCTGGAACAAAGCAACAAGCTTGTAACCAGTAAATGAGAGAGTGAAAGAGAGAGAGAAAGATTACACCAGAGCAGAATTTGTTAACTTCGAAAATAAAAAATACCTGCAGTCATTTTCTAATACACATAATCTACAACAACGCTACGCTGCAGAGATCAGCATGGAACAACAGATTGCATGTTTGGTATATATGTGTGTGTGTGTGTGTGTGTGTGTGTGTGCAGATTATTTTTTATAGGCCAAGGTTTTGCTCAGTGTTAAGCCACTCCCTGTGTTATTTTATTGCATGAATGTGCAAAATGTGAGAAAACACCCACACGCTCCTCACTGCCCATAATGTACCTGCTTGTTTTTTCTGCTGCATAAACAACTGCCCTGCGGCTGTCATTTCCCATGCTACATATTCAGTGTGTGAACCTGGTGTAATGCAATGTTGTTATTACCACCACCACACCGTTACCATTACAAATGCTGCTACAGCTAAATCACCATTAGCTGCCGCTGCTGCCACTGCTGCTATTGTTGTTGATTTTGTTACTGCAAATTTGTAATGCATCGTCCTCAGGCCATAAATCTTATATGGGATTACTGCGTATGAGTCGTTTGTATGGTCTTGACTCATCAATCAGAGCGGGAATGTTTGTGTTACAACTGCCACTTTGTATGATGGATGAAGATGGGTGTTTTCTAACAGTACAGTAGCTGTGGGATGGAGGCTGTCGATGTGTGTGTGTGTGTGTGTGTGTGTGTGTGTGTGTGTGTGTGTGATAGAGCACAATGTAAGCGGTGACACTCATTATTCCATCTGCAGTCAAGAGTGATTGAACACGCCACATATTAACAGTCTTTTCCTCTTAATCCCATTGTGTTCTGTGAGATTAAATTTGAACACTAATAAACGTTTTTTTTTTTTTAAATGACTAATTAATGTTTCGCACCTTGCCAAGAATCATCTCCTTCCTCTACTAATTCTAATTGGTCCAATTAATCATGCGAAAGGTAATTAGCATAGTTTGATGTGCGGTAAAGCCACTCCGGAGCCCATGGGGGGATTGGAAGAGCTTTTGTTTCTTGATACAAACAGAAAATTAGTCAAGGGTGGTACGCGCTTGATGGTGAAGCACAGTGCAGCACAATGCTAATGAGTGCGTTCTATTGTGATGGTCTTTACGGGACTGACAGCCATATTCTTACCAAAGGCAGATGTGCATGGGAAGTGAATGAAGATGACTGGCTCTGGCTGCCTGAGAGATCTGTGCAATGTGCTGGAGATTTACAGTAAGAAAGGCCATTCTGTAACACACACATACACAATGAGGCATTCAAGAGCTCTTTCCCTGGTATACACAGATTTTCAAAGGTCTCCTGCTGTAACATATAATAGAGACGCATTGATCTCGATTTTTCTCTTTGCATACAAGTTGCTCCTCTTTTTTAATCAATGATGAAAACTTTTAAGGAAATTCAGGAAGAAATGTAAGGACTGACATTTATAGGAGAAAAAAAACAACAATTTCAGTGATGAATTTTAATGATCAAATCTTATAACACAGTTTACACAGCAGCATGTTCTGTTGTTCTCATTGGTTCAATAACTTTGGCATTTTACCAGAAAAAAGTACAAAATATGTGCACAATACTGGACTTACAGGAAGAGTTTGGCAACAGATACTGAAGCAGTGAAAGAATTTCTGGATCAGTAATGCAACCATCTAAGGCCATAACCGTGATCAGAATGTAGGCAAAGGTATCCACCCACCTCTAAACCTAAGTCTTGAACCTGCTAAACTGACAGACGGGTTTTATACACCAGCAAAACCTGTTAACTGGAACAAAATGTGATTCTTTAAAGCCATCGAACGACAAAGAACCTTTAACAGAAATCTGTAAATGGTAATTTCAGTAAAGAACTCTTTTAAAAGGGTTTTCAGCAAATTCTAAATTGTTCTGAGTTGTTTTGAAGATAAAATATTACACATAGGAGTTAAAAAACAAGTATGTGAATGTATCTGTTGCATTATCAGGTTATGGCAATTTCTTTGAAATTTTAAACCTTTCAATTAAACATAGCATTTGAAGTACAACTGTTTTGACTACATATCCCAGAAATAGGACATAATCATGCATTTCCATTCATACAGAGAACCATATTTGCATACAAAAACTAAATTTATTTGAACTATAACTGTGCAACTGACATTTTTTCACATCAGTATTATCTGTAAACATAACAGAAAAAAAATTGACCTATATATTGAATAAGGATCAGTTGAAAAATGCAACTCTTCAGTTCTAAATATTGTATTTTATGTTAATTGGGTCAAAACAGTTAGGCTTTCTAGGCTTTAAGAAAGTCAGTGGCATTTGTGTATCCTGTGTAGGCCAAGAAGACAATAGTTCAGACACTTGTTATTTGAGTTATTTGAGAACAAACTGTTGGCAGTTTGATGCTAATGAGTTTCACCTCACCAGATTTACTTGCTGAATATTTGTAAATCTGCATACTGAGCAAGTTCTAAGGAAATCCATTCTATCAAACTGGCACATGGTGCTACTAGAACCACAACAGTGTTTTTATTTACTGTGTAAATTGGTTGAATATACCGGTGGGCATTTAGAACCATCATTTCTTCATTTTTTTATCCATCATTTCTTTTTTGTGTATGCTAAAATAAAGTTCAGCGTTATCAGTGCATACACATCTGTGGCTATTTTAAAAATCATTTTCAGTGCACATTCAAATAAATATTTACATCAATGAGTCATGGGATTAGCTGCTGTATTCCTTCCGTTGTTGCTTGAAACATTAGGGACTATTTGATGACGTTATAGGTTTTTCCAGTGTCTCAGCTGTGTGGCTTGTTGCAATTCTTTGAAATCCTCATACATTCAAAAGCAATATAAAATGTGAGAAAATGTAACCTGTACTTTAACCGCCCTAATTTACTTATTTGCA